TGAGTCACAGAGCAATGCGTGGTGCTCACATCCACTTATTTGGGTCCCTGGCAACTAGTGTTCCTGGTCCAGACAACATGATTTCATACACCCTGGCGCTTGCGTATCTCACAGTATAAACATTGTGACAAGAAAGCGTAAATCATGGAAGCTTGCTGTTCTCAGTTTGGGGCCTTGTTGGCAATCCCAATGCAATAGGAGAAACTCCTGCTTGCATCTGTGAGCCTCTCTCTCTCTGGTCACTCTATATGTTCTGAAGAAAGCAATATGCAAATCTAGGCTGCAGGCACTGTCTGTCTTGGTGACATACTGTACCGCCCCTCTTGTGTCCCTGAGCTTCTAAGGCTCCTATCGCGTCTGTGCCATTTTCAGCATGTCCCAGCTTTTGGTATGATGCTGCGCCTGCCTAGCTCTGGGATTCAGCTCGATAATGTGAGCAGCTCATGTGCGCACACTCTTCCTTTCCTGTCGCTTCTGTGGTCCTCAGCTCTATTTCCCATGACTGATGGGCACATCAGTGCCATGCCCCGAGGGCTGTCCCTCAGCACCTTCAGCATCAGCATAAGCACACCGCCCAGAGCAACTGCTGCCTCTTCCTCAGCTATGAGCTATGGTCAGTACAATCTGTTGATATTTTATGTCAGTACAATCTGTTGATATTTTTCACTGCTTTCCCCCTTTTAAAATTCATGCATGTATAGCTTGGGTTAAAATCTCTCACTCTTCCTGCCTTAATTATTTCTTAGAGGCCTCTAAAAGGTAGAGGACAAACCACAAGTTGATCAAAGTTCATGAACTTTCATATTTTGTGCAAATTTAAGAGGCACAGCCAAAATTTGGATGCTTATGACGTGACACTTATATAGAATTTGCCACTTAGTTATCTTTTCGATAAATGAGGCAGAGATTAGACAGCTCAATGGTGGGTTACGCGGTCTCTTGCTCAAGGCTTCAGGTTGCACACAAACATCACAAAAAAATAGGGACAGAAGCAGATCTTTTCATCAAATGGTAGCCAATCAAAATAGATCCTAAAAGTAGCCAAGCTCCTACCTAAGGAAACCACCGCCCACACTCTAGCTAGTGGGGGGGCGCGCATGCATCTGGGCCTTGAGGCCAGGGAGACCATGTGTAAAAATAGAAGAAAAAATAGACTCTTTCCCTCCCTCCTTTCCTCGCCCTCCCTTCCTCCCCTCCCTCACTCCTGCCCTTCTTCCTTCCCTCTCTCTGTCTCTATCTCTCTGCCTCTGTCTGTCTCTTTCTCTCTCTCATATATGACACAGAAAGAACTATCTGAGCTTGTTCTAAACTGTCATGAGTATTGTCTTTGTGTACTTGAATACAACATCTCACTTACTGAAGCTTTACTTTATCTGTAAAGTGAATACTACCTTAATTTTTCAATGTTATATTTTTTGTTAAAAAAAAACCTATAGGGCTGGTGAGATAGCTCAGTAGACTAATTGCCTGCTTAGGCAACCACAGGGACTACAGTTCCATCCCCAGCACCACATGCCATACCAGCCCCATCTCAAGGGCAGGATGAGCCAGTCAGAGTCCCAGCATAGTGGCATATGCTTGTAATCCCAGCGTTGGGGAGGCTGAAAGCAGGAGGATCACTCCAAGTCCAAGCTTCATAGTGAGATCCTGTAAGAACCAAATACAGAAAAAAAGAGAGTTTAAAAGGACTTATATATTATACTTAGCAAACAGAAATAGAGCTAATAGGACTATGCCTATTAGCAATACGATATTATGGAGACTAATGAGGCTTTTTCTGCACAATTGCAAATAAGATAATTTACTTTTAGTTCATTTTCAACCAATGAACAATTGTTCCCAACTTTATTCACTTTTGTTGCAATGTTGACCTCTGCCTATACGATGCATGGTGACACTTCCACACCCCCACAGACATGGATGGGGACAACCACACTGCAGTCACAGAATTCTTCCTCCAGGGACTGTCTGGGAAGCAAGAGGAAGAAGAGGTGCTCTGCGGGCTGTTCCTCTGCATGTACCTGGTCACCATCACTGGAAACCTGCTCATCATCTTGGCCATCACCTGTGACCCTCACCTCCACACGCCCATGTACTTCTTCTTGGCCAACCTCTCCGGGGTTGACGTCTGCTTTTCATCAGTTATAGTCCCCAAGATGCTGGTGAGTCATGCAGTGGGCAGCAAGTCCATCTCTTACAAACAATGCATGACCCAGATGTATTTCTTTATCATTTTTTGCAATATGGATGGGTACCTGCTGAGTGTGATGGCCTATGACAGATATGTGGCCATCTGTCGTCCACTCCACTACACCCTGATCATGAGGCCCAGACTCTGTGTCCTCCTGGTGGCCGTCTCCTGGGTCATTACAAACTTGCATGCTCTCCTCCACACTCTGCTCATGGTTCGACTCAACTTTTGCTCCAACAACACTATACATCACTTCTTCTGTGACCCCTACCCACTCCTGAAGCTCTCTTGTTCTGACACCCACATCAATGACATGGTGGCCTTCATTGAGTGTCCATTAGTGTTTCTGACACCATTTACATGCATTGTGGTTTCATACGCCTACATCTTCTCTAATGTGCTGAAGGTGCCCTCAGCCCAGGGGATAAGGAAAGCCCTGTCCACGTGTGGGTCCCACCTCACTGTGGTCTCCCTCTTCTATGGGGCAATCCTGGGCGTCTATATGCACCCTTCCTCCTCCTTCTCCCTACAGGACACGGTGGCCTCTGTCATCTTCACAGTGGTGACACCACTGGTCAATCCCTTCATCTACAGCCTGAGGAATCGGGACATGAAAACAGCCCTGAGGAAGCTAATTCTCAGATTCCAGACTTAGGACACTTTAGAGCTCAGAGGACTGCTGGATATCAGGCACTAATTTTTCATACAATCAGCAGCAATTAGGGCCCACGTGGGGCTAATACTCACGTGGGGCTAATACTGGCTACTCTTCTAATTAGTCATCTAAGATCACAGTCAAGCTTTAAATTTGCAAATGATAGGTGCTCATGCTCTTTGTGCATTTGGAGGAAGCATCTAACTTCCTGAATCTTTGTTGTCTGTAAAGTGAATACTACCTTAGTTTTTAAGTGTTATATTTTCCATTAAAAGGACCTATATGTGATACTTCGCAAAAAGAAGTGGAGCTAATAGGACTATGGCTAATAGCAATAGAACATCATGGAAACTAATGAGGCTTTTTCTGCACAATTGCAAGTAAGATAATTCACTTTATAAAACCAGTAATTTCTTTACTAAATGGGCTGATTCCAAGATAATTGTTTTACAGACAAGGAAAATGGATAATCAGATACTCAGATTTCCTTCATTTTTGGATACAGCCATCAACCCAATAAGGCACCAGCTGTCACACTTGTCTAAGAATTTCAGAAGGCTTCGGAGCTGGCTATCCTCAGAGTCAGATGAGTAGATGCTACTGTCGTCCTGGTAACTGACTCACGCAACATGTTAACTGGTCAGAACTATGTAACTAGCAGCTGTCAGTTACAGCCTAGTCTTGTTTCACCATCCTCAGCATTTGGTTGTGGCCATGTCTGGTCATTCTTCTTTGTCCCACATTTCAGTTCTTTGGTGTCTCATCGATGTGGTGTTTGGTTATTCAAGGCTTTGTTGAGATCTGTACCATAGTAAATATTTTTCTTCAACAGCATTCTCTCCAAGTCTCCTTAAAATTGCTGATTTTTAAGAATTCTAATGTGTGTGCATTTATCTTCACCCCTTCATGAATCCCATCACATGGTGGAGCTCACCACACAGGGCACCTCCAACTGACAGTGAATCCCAGGGGATGCGAGTGGTGGTGGCAAGAAGCTGGCCGCATGTGGCAAGCCTCATGTCCTCTCAGACTCATCAGATCTGTTTTAGGGGAAGCTCAGTGCGATGCTGCCAATAAAACATCATGAGCTAAGTTTTGCTGCTTGAGGGTCTAAGACATGCTTGGTTTCCGTCCTAGTCTTCCTTGCAATACCCACATCTGCACACATGTCTCCTCCCATTGTTACTCTACACACACAGTTGGGGAAAGTGCTACAGCTTTCTAATGGATGAAGACCCTACAGGGCTTAACCGAGTTCTTGTTCTTGTAAAGAAATAATGCCACCCAAAAGCTACAACTCTTGTTGCATAGGTCCTACTTTACCTTGGTCTTAACCATCCAACAGAAAAGTATAAAAACGAAGTATAAGAAGTAAAGCCATGCTGTTATGTTGAGCTGTAGGGGACTCAGGTCAACAATTTCTGACATTGCCAGCGAAGAGGAAGACCCAAACTATTATGGGCTACTGGACTGTTTTAGAATATTTTGCTGAGTTTACACACCTATAATATTCAAATAACAGAACTTAACAAAAAAGGGGATACAGATGAATGTCCATTTTGTATCTGTGTATTCAAAATGGTTAGGATAGATATACAGTTACATTCTCTTAATGAATAGAGGGATTTGTTCTAATGGTGTTTGTAGATAGGATATCATGTCCTCATCTTGTACAGCAACTAACTACTAGGAAGAATGTATGCAATGCGTTAATTATTGGAACTGTCCTACCAATTTGGTTTGAAACTGTCTCATTGCTATTTGTTTTCCAATAAAATTATGGAAAAAAAAGAAATAATGCCATATATTGGAGAATAACTGATGCCTGTGAGTGCAATGGGTGAAGTAAAACAAAATATTTCTTGCTAAAACGTTGAGGCTTGTTGAGCTGAAGAAAATTGAAATGCAGGAGCTTTCTCTTCCTTCTCCTGTTTGCCTGAAGGCGGGAGGAAGAGTCACACGGAGGTCTTTCTATCAGCCCCTCCCTTGCCTCCTAACACCAGAGCAATAAGCCCTCTCCTTCTGAAGAAGCCACCAACAGAGATGGCCCCTGCCGATGCCAGAGGAGTCCAGGAGCAGACTCCACAATCCTCCCGTGCTTTTCCCAGTTCAGGAGCCAGATGTTGTCCTTTGTCTTGTCACTCTAAGATGAGATGTTCTTTATTAGAATACTACTAAGGTCAGAGCTCCAGCCCACTGTTTTGAGAGATGGTTACTTTCCCAGAAGGTTCAGATTTTCCCTGCACAAGGCATGTCACATGTTTCTAACTCTGCTTTTGTTTCCACCTGATAATCTGCAATTTGCTAAAGGAATTTCCCCAACTAAGAATTTATGGGTTTTTAAACCAAGAATGATATTTTTTACTACCTCATGGGAAATTGGAAAATTATATTCCTAAATACCAAAAACCAGAGTAATGGAACAGAATTGTGTAACTAGAGATCTGACAAGGATACCACATGGTATGATGCAGACAGACTTCACAGACAACAAAAAGGTGGAATGGGAAGAGCCAGAGAGTGAATTATAAGATGTATTCCTCAGCCACTCTCTCCCCAAGCTCTCAGTCAACTCAGTCAAGGGTTAGGTA